GCGACTCAGGACTGCTCTTGATGAGATCTCTCAGCAGACTGAAGTAACACACGTAGCTCGTCGTTAGATACTTTGGTGTCATTGGCCTGTAAACCACAAAAACAAACGTCAGCCTCCACGAAGTGAAGCCACAATGCTAGATATAACATATAATATACACACATACATATAACGTAGATATTCCATCGACAGTAGTCACATTAGTAATTATTATCAGGGAATCTACTGACCCAATAGCCTCCCATAATGTTCGACTCTCAATGCCTACTTGTACGCACTACTACACATGGAGGGTCACTCGTGATTGGTAGTTTCTTAAATTCACCACCAGGTTGCGCCACCGCGAGCGATCGGCACGTCAGCAGTGCTCACCTATTCAATTCGTCGTCCAAGTCTGCCATGGTGAGCGGCGGCTCCCGCTTGACCTCCATGGACGACCCGAGGTCACCGTAGCCCTGCTCCATTGGAGACGATGCGCCGACCGCCGATGAGGAAGCCATCTTCAGCTTCAGCTTCCTCTTCTTCCTCTTCGCAACCTTCCTCTTCGCTGCCGCCTCCGCCGCCGCCGCCGCCGCCCCGGACGTGTCCCCGTCCGCCTGCTGCTCCTCCTGCTTCACCGCAACTGTAACCACGGCGATTCGCATCTGGTCAGATAACATCTACTACGATACAGATAACTACGAGGCGGATAGACACGGATGCAAAACGAAGAGAAAGTTGCGCAAACACACGGGAACTGTACACGGTGTCGGGCCGTCCTCTAACAGCCTTGATGTGTGATAACTCGGTACCTGTCTGTGGGTAGGAGGCGGGTAGCTTCCTACTCGGATGACACCTAGCGATGATATCCTTTAGTTCGATGCCGTTTGTGTCCAAGTCTGCGGCCTCCTATCAACGTACAAATAATGCAGCTTGTCACACCAATGTCAGGCTACGTTCACATGTTTAAAGAAGCACTAACATGACTAACTATATTCTATTTATTTCTCTTTTCTATTCTCTATTAGCATCTAACTAATTCTCACTTAATATTAATGCATGTACCTATAATGCAACTCATCACACCAATGTTAGACATGTGTACATGTTTTATGAAAGAACTAGCGTGTTTTCTCATTTAATATTAATGTATTCACTAATAACATAGCTCATCACACTAATGTTGGCCGCGTTTACATATATGTTTTATCATAGCAGTGGCGTTTTCTCATTCAGTATTAGGGTATAT